TTAGTAAGATAGGATCAAAACGCTTGCAGCGTATTCGATTAAAGTTACACAAATTTGATTTAGATTTGAAGTACAAGCCCGGCAAAAGCATTCCAGTGGCAGATTACTTATCTCGATACGTTTCAAATAATTTGATAGCTGTAGATTTTGAAGAGAATTTCATGAAACAAATGATTCATTCAGTGAATATTAGTGATGATAAACTAAAAATCTATCAAGCTGAGACAGGTAAAGATAAAGAATGCTCGTTGTTAAAGAAATACTTTGCTGAGGGCTGGCCGTCAGACAAATCAAAAGTACCTGATGAAATAAAACTCTTTTTTTATCAGGATAGAATAATAGTTCCCAAATCATTGAGAGAAAATGTTCTTAAAGATCTTCATGAAGGTCTGAAAAAAAAAAAAAAAGGTCACATGGGAATTACTAAAACCTTACGTTTCGCCAAAGAATCAGTTTATTGGCCTTCACTAAATGTTAGTATAGAGAATTTAATTAAGAGTTGCGAAGAGTGCAACAAGTTTCAGAAATCGAATAGAAAGGAACCAATAATTCAACACGAGATTCCTCTCCAATCATTTGAGAAAGTCGGATGTGACATCCTTGAATACAGTGGAAAGAGCTATCTCGTTGTTATTGATTACTTTTCAAAATGGATTTCGTGTAAATATTTAAGTTCGAAGAATTTGAACGCTGTAATTTCTAAATACATTGAGATTTTTACAGAACACGGCTTTCCAAAGACTATTATTGCAGACAACATGCCGTTTAATTCATTTGAATGTAGAAGTTTTGCCCATGAGTGGGATATTAAAATAGTCACTTCAAGTCCTCGTTATGCACAGTCGAATGGTCTTGCAGAGAAAGCTGTAGGAACAGTTAAAAATATGATGAAGAAATGCGATAATTTCAATAAAGTTTTAATAGCAATTTATAATTACAATAACATTCCGTTAACGGATATTGACTTGTCTCCAAGTCAATTGCTTTATAATAGAAGAATGAGAACTAAAATTATTATGAAAGATAGCTTGCTTGAACCAAAGTTAAATCACAATTTAGGTGAAAAATTCGAAAAGAAGCAAACTAAGACCAAAGTTTATTACAATCGAAATTCATACAAACGTAATGAGTTCGATTTAAATCAGAAGGTGTGGGTACAATTGCCTGATAACACTTGGTCTAAAGGATCAATCGTTAAGAAATGTTCAGAGCCTAGATCATATGAGATTTGTATGGATAATAATAGGGTTATTAGACGAAACTCTAAATTCATTCGACCTGATAGGTCAACAGTATCCAATCAAATTGATCAAAAGAAATGCAATGAATCTAGTCGATACAGAATCAATCTCGATAACTTCTTCGCTGACAACTCACTGCATGAACCTCCTCTGAATTCTAATGCAAATGCCGCACCTCCCGTTCATCACCAACCAACTGCAACCTCAACAGAAAGGAATTCGAACCAACAACCGTTCCGACGATCATCAAAATGTAAAATAATGATCTCAGTAATCCGAGAAAAACAATAAATCAGTTGAATATCTCGAACAAAAACATAAAGACGTGTTTCATTGAAAAATCAAAAATAAAACAAGAACCAAAGGAAAAACACAGATAGAGATGTGGAATGATGAGTTACCACAAGAAGAATCATATTTTGAATTTGGTGCAGATTGTTACGCTTGGATTCCAAAAGTGAAACGAAGGAAGCTGGATCAGAAAGCACAAAAATTGAAATTCATGGGAAATGATGAGACATCTAAAGGCTATAGATTGATAAATCCTGATACAAAAGTGATTACAATAGCAAGAGATGTAAAAGTGTTAGAATCAAGGAAGGAAATATCAAAAAGTGATTTAACACATAAAGAAGATACAGTCGTCAGAGATATGGAGTCGGACGAGACAAAAGTCATTGACAATAAGGATCAATTGAATGACTTACCGGAAGTAGATGTAAATAATCTTGAGCATGATTATGAGTCGGAAGTAAGCATTTATGAGACGGATCATGGAGACATGTTTGATGAAGATTTTATCAGTGAATCATTAACACAAAATGTTATTGATTCAGATGCTACAATAAGACGTTCAACGAGACAGAATATTGGAAATACATCAAAATATGACGATTATGTATGTAAGGTTGAGAAAGCTGATATAAAGGAACCTAGAACATATGATGAAGCAATTCAATGTGTTGATAGTAAGCAATGGAAATTAGCAATGGATAATGAAATGAAGGCAATTCATCAGAATAATACTTGGAAACTGGTTGACTTACCTAAAGATCGTAAAGCCATTGGATCTAAATGGGTGTTTAAAGTCAAGCGAGATGTTAAGCAGTTAAGTGCCTTGCTGGTCGAATAGTTAAGGCGCTTGGCTCAAATTTGAGATGATAACTCGGAGGTCGTCGGTTTGAATCCAGCCACTTCCAAATTTGTTCTTTTTTGGAAGTTTAGATACTTCGACTGCTTAATGTACGAGATCAAGCCATAATTGGGCATTTGGGCAACGTTGGATTAAGGAATGGGTCAGGAACTTAAAGTATAGCGGGAGAAACAGGAACGAGAGCTACAAGATTACCCACGAATGGAATATTGTTAGAACGGACCTGAAAAGTATCACGTCACGCCTACAGAAGATCGAAACGAGAGCCTTGGTTTATTTGAAACCTATCATATGTATACAAATACAAAAAGTGTAAAATGTGAATTATTCCCGGACAGTATGTCGTCAATAAATACAATAAAGTGCAATTAAAATAAAAAAAAATGTAAATGGTAAAGTTCTAAGGTATAAAGCTCGTTTAGTTGCTCAAGGTTTTAACCAGAAATATGGAACTGATTATGAAGTTTTCGAACCAATTATTAGACCAAGCACATTTAGGACATTGTTAAGTGTTGTAGCAAAGAGAAAACATCATGTAATGCATTATGATATTAAGACAGCATTTCTGAATGGTAAATTAGATGAAGAGATTTACATGAAACGACCTCCTGGACATACTAATGGATATAAAGTATGTAAGCTTATGAAAGTACTTTATGGATTAAAGCAGTCAGCACGATCATGGAATAAAGTAATCCACAATGTATTGATGTCCAATAACTACAAGCAGAGTAGATATGACAAGTGTCTATATATGAAGACAATTGGTAATCAGAATTGTTATATATTAATTTATATTGACGACTTAATTATAGCAAGCAACAGTTCAACGGAAAAAAATAATATAGCATCAAAAATCGAACGAAATCACGATGGTGATTTTTTGCTGAGTCAAAGAAACTATACAGATAAGATTGTTGAGGACTGTGGATTAATTAATGGAAAATTTTCAAGATTTCCATTGAATACCGGATATGAAAAGTTCACTAGTGATAAATTAATGGGCAAAAATAAAATATATCAAAAGATAATTGGTCAATTATTATATTTATCGACTAACACAAGACCGGATATCACTGAAAGTGTTTCAATCTTAAGTCAACGTATGAGTAAACCAAGAGAAATTGACTTAACTGAAGTGGAGCGAGTCGTACGTTATCTCAAAGGAACACGACAATATAGATTGAGATTAAGTTCAAATGCATTAGAGCAGAACTTAATAATGTATACTGATACAAGTTAGGCAGAGAATAAGATTGATAGGAAATCCAATATCGGATAAATTATTATGTTAAATGGTGGTACAATTTCATGGGCATGTCGCAAACAAGCATGTGTATCACTCTCATCGACCGAAGCCGAATATATTGCATTAAGTGAAGGATGTCAAGAACTAAAATGGATAAAAGGTAGTTGTAAGGAAATAAACATTGGCATCAAGCAACCAACAAATATATTTGTCGACAATCAGAGCTGCATGAAGATAGTTGAAAATGAGAAGTTCAGCAACAGAACAAAACATATAGATACAAAATATCATTTCATTAGAGAAATGAATGAACAAGGAGAACTGACTTTTCATTATTGTTCGACTGAAGACTATGTAGCTGATTTACTGACGAAACCATTGGAACCAAAGAAGATCAACTATTTTAGGCAAAAGGCTAACATAGTTGACTAATTAAGGAGAAGATTAAAGTCAAGGAGAAGTGCTGAAGTAATGACTTTGCTTATATAGGTCGCTACTAAGATAGGTTACACTCGGTAGTTTTAATCTCGGATTAATAACTTATAAGAGACTTAATAAATCATTAATTAACTTAGGGGCCGTTCACTTATTACGTTCGCATTTTAGAGGGGAGGGGGGGGTTTGAAAAATTGTAACCAAATGTAACATAGGGGGGGGGGGGGGGTGTCAAGAAGGATGTAACCTTCAAACTGTCGCTGTCTTTTAAAAAAAAGTTCACGAAAAAAATTTGTTTACAAATTCACACCAAAAACATTTTTTTAAATTTTCCACCTTTTTAATGATTTACAAATGTCCAAATCTCTTTTGATAGCTAAGCAATACATAGTTTTTGTTATATAAAGTAACAAATCAATAGAAAACTGGTTTACAAGACTTTAAAATACAATCATAATTTGTGGAAATTTTCAAAATTAAATCAATCATAAGTTTAAAAGTAAATCTCTCTAAATCTGTCATTCATATGATCCCATCATTGTGATATTTACATTCAAAGTTGATTGAATTTTCCAAAATTCGATCGGGCATAATATTTTTGAATTTTCTTCAAAAAAAAAATTTTTGCTTTATATCTCAATCCAATAATTAATGAGAATACTAATAGTATCAATAAAAACATGACCTATTTGGCTGTACAGTATTTTTATGTTTACAATACAAAAGAAATTTAACCTTCTTTTTAGAATAAAAAATTATCAAAATAAAATAAATTATGAACGTTAAGGGGGGGGGGGTGAGAGTTGTAACATATTGTAACAAGGGGGGAGAGGGGGGGGGGGTTAAAAAAGTCGTTTTCTTGCGTAACGTGAACGGCCCCTTAGTACTACTTTGATTCCACTGTTCTTATTTATTTATTGCAACAGAATATATTGTTTCTAGATTGAATGCAATTTTCAGAAATATTAAATTTATTATGGTAATTATGCTATTTTACAGGAGTTTGGAGCATAAATATTGTAGAACAGATCTTAATCTATCATTTAGTGTACATTTAATGCTGCAAAGATAAGGATTTGATATTATTTTATTGATTATCCTGTTGAAACTTTTACAAAATTCCATTTTTGGTCACGAAGTAACGGACCGATTATCAAACTATCTTAATAAAAAGAACAATTTATGCTTAAATAAGTAACTTAATGGATTGGAAATAAAAAATTACATCAGATAAACTGAAAACCTTGTTAGGTTTATTGGAAAATTTCGACAAAAATTCATTTGAAGTCAAATTTTTTGCAATTTATCTTATTGAGAATTGCCCAAAAATAAGTTTTAGCAATCACGGGGCTTTTGACAGTGTAAATAACCGGTACATGTGAGGCTGCCTGAAAATTTTGTAAGCAAGCTTTACAAACTGTAGTCCGACTGAATTAAAAGTTTTTTTATATTTTTTATTTTTTAAATTGAATAAATCAAAAAAAAATGTTTATTAAATTATAATAATTTTAAATTTGGATTGATAAGGATTAATTCCACAAAAATATATAAATATATAAAAAAAAATCAATATTAAAGCTGTAAGAAAAACGTGAAAATATAAATAGTGCCAAAGTGAATGTTTTTTTTTTGATTTTTAAATAATGTCGGACTTAACAATTGTGGAAATAGCTGATGTTTCATTGAATATCAACAAACCAGATTTGATTTTAGAGGAAAACAACAAAAGGAAGCTTACTAGTGACGATGAATTGGTGGATTCAATGGCTGAGAAGAAAATATGTCGAGACACAGAAAATTTTGTAGGCATCAAATATATTATTGATTGTATAAATTGCATTGTTTTATTAATTTTGTATTATTTAAGGATGATTCAATGTTAGTGGAATCTACTATAGAAGAAAGCATAATTGATGAAAGCCAATTAATTGATGATGATAACGATGTAATAGAAAAAAATCGTATTGACAACAAGGAAAATGATGTAGTAGAAAGTATAAATCAAGATTCATCGTCAATAATAGAAGGTAATTTTTTTTTATTCTATTATTAAGTTTTGTGTTAGTTCTAGACATATTTTCAGATGAAACAAGGGAACAACATACAATCAATGAAACTAGTAGTGAAGAAGATGACGACGAAAACTACGATAATTCTGTAATGAAAAAAGCTATAAATGCATTACCTAAACCATTATTATTAACAGAAAACGATGAACCGATCGCACTTGATGATTCGGAATCAGAATGTTCAGAAAATATCGAGGAAATCAATGAGGAGCAGGTTGAAGAAGACGATTCTTTATTATCTTTGCATAAAAGAATGATGCGATACAATCCAAAATTTTATTTTGCTCGTGGATTGGTTAAAAAATCTATAAGAATAATTTTACGAAAAACAAAACGCAACATAAAAAATACAAAAAAATTGTTTAAAAAGTATGATAGTGGTGAGTGTTCTATTCAAATAATTGAAAATGTTGAAAGTAAAAATATAAATGTAAAAAAAGATTTAAAAGCCAGTAATCCACAAGAAACGGAAGTCAATGATAAAAATGCCGAAGAAAAAATTTTCAATGGTAATAAAGGTTCAACACTTGATTTAAATATTGATCAGAAAATGAAGAATGATAAAAACGATGCTGAAAATAAAATACAGCATGATGTTGAAGTCGAAGATAAGAATAAAGGAATTAATAATAAGTCAGAAAGTCCTAACGTGCTAGAAATTAAGAGTTTACTGAATGATATTTCGACTTCATCAGTAGACGAAATTATATCGAGATACATAATCTGTAGTTCTGACAACAATTCAATTTTATCAGTTGATGATTTTTCTGAGCAACTTTTTTTTTGCTTACAAGAAAATAAAAGAGAAATTGATAATATTCAACGCATTTGGAATGAAAAAGTTCATTTAAAGTTTAAAATGCGAGAAATTATGGAGAGACTAAGACGTCAACGAGTTATATCTGAAATCGAAACTTTTGGCATAAAACCTTCACATGATGTTCAGCAATTCAATTTGTTAAGTTCAAAATCAAGCACAACCAATTCAACCGAAAATGAACATTTTGAGAGATCATCAAAATTATCGTCTCAGTCAGTAAATCGTTTAATTCAAGATGTAAGGGAAAACGTTCTTAAGAAGGAAAAGCATAAAATTAACGACATTGTATCTAATATGAATGAAAATTATGAAGAATGCACATCGTTTGGAATCAATTCCAACATATTTCAGTCGTCATTAAATCAAGGTCGCCAAGGACAGACAGTCGATGTTCAATCAATCATTAATGATTTTAGACAGAAAAATCCTCAAGAAATTCCTAGACGTGGTCGTCGTATGAAGAGCAGTTTTCCAAATAATTATTTTATGTCAAATCAAATTCAAACACAATATACCAAGGAAGATGACAATAAAATCAACAATAGCCCACATGATCATAATTCTGCAAAATCAAACACTTCTGTTGGATTTCCGGAAGTTAGTTTATTACCAGTCAATAGCTATTATAAAACTCATTCACCTCAATATGGACAAAAGTCTTCATTGTTGCAAAGTATCTTAACAAAGGTATTTTTTTAAAAAACTCATCTTTCTTCAATAATTTTTGTTTAATTTTGATGAACTTTTTATTGTTTTTATTCACTTGATAAACAATAGCAGCCGAATAAAAGTACACAGTCCAGCAAATCTTCAACTCTGGCGAGACTATTAACAGCACCAGAAAAATCATTTCAAAATTCATCACGAAGTGGTATTCAACAGAACTCAAAGGTTCATAATAATGGCGAAATAACTATAACGCCAATTGCAGGCTCTTCAAGGAGACACATAATTGTAAGGATGCTTCAACTTTTTTTATTTTAAAAAATATTTTCTTATTTATTTTTTTAAAAATAAAATCTGCAAGGATGATGAAGAAAATTCAGAGCCACCATTAATTATTGATGAATCAGATGATTTTGATTTGAGTGATCGTCATAATACAAGCGCTTCAGATCTTTTATGTCAAGGATGTCGAAGAAATAAAGCCCTATTTATGTGCGCTGGATGTTCAAGGCAATGGTATTGTAGTAAAGAATGTCAAGTAAGTTAAAATAATTTCAATTTATTTTTGTATTCCTCTACAACATAATTTTTATACAGGAATTGGCATGGGACGATCACGCAGAATCATGTATGGTTTAATATTAGCAGCACTTGATGTAAATTTTGATTTTATTTTTATACCATTTAAAAAAATAATATATTACCACATGAAAAATAAACAAATATCTAAAATAAAATAAAAATTTTCCTTTTTATTAAACAATAAAACTGCAATTTTTTATTCATCACAACCATTTTTCACACATTTGGATAAAATTAATAAAACCGCCTTAAAAATGGGCGGAGACTTTCTTCTACACCACCAATACATTTCAACAACAAAACAAATATTTACAGTCAATATAATTTTCTCTTATTTCTTTAGCATTCAGTTACGAGAGTTCTCTTCGTCACGTTAAGTCGACAAACTATTTTTTCTCAAATTAGATTTTCAAAAATAAAGTAAAATGAAAAACATATTAATTTACTTTTGTCTATCTGCATCAAAATCTAAATGGTGATTAAATAAGTTAAAGTTTAAGAATTAAAAATTTGTTAATGAATTAAGTGAAATTTATGTGGTCCATAATTTAAAAAAAAATGTTAAAAATTGAAGAAAAAAATACAGAATTATTGATAAAAATTGTGAATAAATAAATGTGCAATCTGGTTTAAAATTTAACTACATCATATTTGTTTGCAAGACTTAAGGCGAAGAAGGCATATTTCTTATTTTACTGTGTAATATCACGAAATGTGCTCTGAAGTAATGTATGGCGCATATTATCCTTATTTATATGCTACGAGTCGCGCTGCTCCAGGAAGGCCATTTTATCACCAGTACGATCGAGTAAGTCATTTTGATTCATTTGAACACAAACTGTTATCAACCGTTTGAAGAATCGTTTATTAAAATATTGTAAAACAGACATTTCTTTTCTCAGAAAAGCTACGTTATTTTCGTCATTAGGTCATTCTTACGACATGAAAACTTAGTGAGACACAGACGGAATTCATTGAATGTCTTTGATTTCCAAGATTAAACGAATTAAAAATTATTAAACGTCAACACCAATTAGAACTCGTTAGCACTTTATAAAAAAAATTAAATGTTTTGAATCAATAATTCACAAACGAAATTTATGGTAAATCTTACTATTCTGAAGCTATACCAAATTTCACCAAATCAAATTTCATTTTCATTTGTGTTTGCAAACAAATAATTCGCAATAGCAAAAATTCAAAAAATTAAAAATTTTTACTCCATTTTTTTCTAATCTGATGATATGACATCATAACTTTCTTAATTAAACTTAATTAATGTTTTCATACAAAGTGCTAAAAAAATGTAAAGACATCTTCCCAAAAATTATACGTGAGTGAAACTCAATCAAAGCGATTTTCTCAAGCAACAACTTAATTTTAAGAAATCAAATTTATGTCAAAAGATGTGAAATTTTATTTTATGTAGGAAAAAATAGTTTTCAAATTAGACACTTTTAAGAATGAGGAGAAATTTGAGAATTACATAGCGTCACTCACGTATAAATTCACTTGCGACGAGGCCTATGATATATATAATTAAAAGAAAAGTAAAAATGAAAAGAGATAACAATTTATCTTTTATTCTACACGAGACCTACGATATTAAAATAATGCATCTTAAATTCTTAATTTTCTTCTGTATTTCTCATATTTGAAAGTTTTATGTTAAGTTTTAGTATCGTTGGTTTTAGAAAGGTTTTAGTTGTAATTATCCATTCAGATCTACACCCTACAGTGGGATCATTTGGATTTGAGGACTTGAGCGATTTGGGATAAGAATATTGACCAAGAATAATGGAGAGAATAATTGCGCCGCAAAACTACAAATAAAACCAAATTAAAGCTAAAACTAAGCAATGAAAAAGTAAAAGCCTGATTCCTAAAAACCCATACTTTTGGTAAAAAAACTTGTTTCATACACGTGAAATAGGTTGTTTTAATCAAAAATCAAGTGTTGCCAATTCTGATGCATAAAATGATACATATACAGAGCCCGTTACCTTAACTAATCCTTATACTCAGGAAAAAAATTCAAAAACTTCCACTTTAGATTTTAAAATTTGTCAATTCTAATTGAAATTTTTAAATCTAAAGTAAAATTTTCGAATTTTAAAAATTTTCTTCTGATTTTTAAAATAAAGTTTTGAAATTAACAATACAATTTGCAAATTTTTAGGTTTTCATTCCAAAATAAAACTTTTGATTTTAATGTACAATTTTTGATTTCGAAAAATTTTGCAACTTAAAGAAAAAATTTTAGATTTAAAAGTTTTTCTTTTTGAAGAAAAACAAAACTTCGCAGAAATCATGGTACCAAGTCCAACTTAAATTTCCATACAAACTTAAGATATTTGTAATAATATCTTTCACATGAATGAAATTTCCTCTGCCTCACAAGCATTCGTGTTTTATGTTTTTATGGGTTCTGTCATTTCATCAACTTAATTTGCTTTAAATTGAAAGATTAATTTAAAAAAATCAAAAATTATTATTTTAAATTCAAAAATCTTTACTTTAGATTCTAGAATTTTATTTTTAAATTTAAAAAATTAATGTTGAACTTGGGTTTAAAAGAAAAATATTTATTTTTTTAAAGTATGAATTAAAAATAAAATTTTTGATTATAAAATTTTCTTTAAGAAAATCAAAAAAATTTCTTTTAGAAATCTAAAATAATCCTTGGGTTGCAGAACAAAAAATTTCTATTAGATTTTTTCATACAAATCTAGATTTCAATATTAGATTTTTTCTTTGGCTATAGCCAAGAAGGAATCAAAGCCAAGGCTCCCGACGATTAATATCTTTAAATAATCTCATACAAAGATTATTTTTTCAAAAACCTTCGTATGAAAGATTATAAAATATTATTAACATTACCTTTTTGAAGATTGTAATCTTCGTTGTTAAAAGATCATAATCTGTGGAAGACTTGATTAAAACTTAACAGATTTATTTTGATATTTACAATTTTGTGTTATCTTATCTCACAATTCAAACAAAAATTGTTCAAAATGTTTTTTTCTCCTCTTGGAACCAGTTGAATTTTGATAAAAGCTACCCATTTCACATTTATGAGAACCCCTTGATTAATAATTGGAAATTCTTTTGAAATAAAAACATGTTTTTATTGGTGAGCCTCGTCACAAACCAATTGTATGTGAGTGGCACTATGTTCTTGATAATCTTGATTATCTCCTTATCCTTAAAAGTGACAATTTAAGAGATATTTTTTAAAAAAAGGCAAGACGTGGAAACTCAGGATTAATCCTGAAAATCCTTTTAAACCCTGAAATTATTCATTAAATGCATCAGGAATTTGAAAGGGATTTCACATTTTCATTTTTATTGCCTCAGGGAATTTTTAGGATTTTTGGGATCTTTCAGTTAATCCAGAGTTTCCAAGCCTTGAATCATCTTCATTATCTTCATTATAGTTATTGATTTATAATTAAATGTATTTTTTAAGGTCAGTAATTTCTCTGTTTTGTGCGAGTTCATAAACATAAATCGTATAATTATATAATCGCGATTAAAATTTTTGCTGTCGCGAATTGTTTGTTTTTCGTTTGTAAACTTAAAATAAAATTTTAAGGCCAGGATAGAAATTTTGTCATCATGTAGCCGATTGGCTTAAATTTCGGCTTAACATCGGCTAAATTGAAATTCTGAGCTTACTATAGCTACATGCTGACAAAATATTACACAGAATCATAGTAAAGCATGTTAAGTTCAATTTAAATACTTGAAATGGGTGTCAAATGGCTTTTTTCTATCAAAAAAAAAAAATCAAAAATTGAGTTGAGGCGAAAAAATCGGCTTCGATCTCTGCTTTAAGTTGTTTTTTCCATATCTTGCTAGCTGTTGTTAGCTAAGGTAAGCTTAGATTTGCATATTAAAAATACCAAATCAACAGAAAACTGCTTAATAAGTCTTTAGAATGCAATTGAAATCTTAGTATTTTTACAAAATTTAAACTTTTTATAAGTTAAAAAGTCTTCTAAAGACCTCTCTAAAACCTATATAAATCAATTGATTTAGATTAATCTATTTCCCATATTACTGTAGACATGCCGTTTGATGCCGTCTTGAAGATATTTGCGATCAAAGTTTACATAAATTTTCATACAAAATTTTGACATGCACAATATTTTTGGATAAACTTTTACAAACTTTCAAAAATTCATATTCTTTTTTACAAACGGTAAAAATTCATATTCATTCTTTATATTAAGGACTGATTTTTTGAGCAATTAACAATAACATTATGTAGAAGATGCAAAAAAAAAACAAATCAAAAGAAATTAACAAAAACTTTCAATTTTCTAATGAGTCGAAAAAATATTGTACACAAGAAAATTTTAAACACTTTTTTCAAAGCTAAGTCATTGTGTTTTGTTTTCAATTTTAATTATTTTTTAGTTTCTGTAAAGTTATTCTTTCACTATGTTATCGAAGTTAACGTCTATAGTAAATAGAATGAATAATTCTGTCATCCATAAAAAAGCTCTCAATTCAAAAAATTATAAGGATTCTTTAAAAAATAAATTTAAATTTAAATTGAAGACTATAATTGTTCATAATAAATGTTTTAGATTTAAACTTTTTCTCGTCAAAAATAATTGAAATTGAATTTTGAAGATGTTTTTCCTTAATTTTTATATTAATTTTAAATAATTTATGCTTTGCCCATATGTCTGCATATATGCAAACTTATATTTGAATGCTTTACATGCTCTACTATGATTCTGTGTAGAATTAATATACCAGAATATTTACTCAAAATGGACAAGGTTCAATTTAAAATTTATTTGGATGTTAAATTCAGTCTTTATATACTTCTGTATAAATTAATGGTTATATTAGCAAACTTTATATTCCTTAAATATAACATTTGATTTTTAAGTTGAATTTTGTTTAACTTTGCCACTATGGCTACTAAGGGTATTGTTTCTGCGATTTTAGGGATGTTTGAAGTTGAAAATGAGTGAAAATTCAAATTTTTCATGCCACATATGAACTGGGAAATATCTATAAAGGTTTAAGATATTAAAACTAAGTTTCAGTTCCAAGAAGAACGATATAAGAATAATAATAAAAAAAAACCTTTACCTATTCAGATCAATTGTGATCCAGAGGTGCGCTGGGGCGTTTCGCAGCTAATTAGATTTTAACGAGTGAGGATGCGATGCGCCAAGCCACTGCACTCAAACCTAGACCTACAATTTATAGTGGGATCCGAACCACTCCGTTTCTGACATTTCTGCCTGAAGCCTACAAAGCAAGGCTGTGATCTTCATTTCCAATCAAAAAGGACAAGTGAAAAATTTCTCATACCCAGTCTCGAACCCATGATCGCTATGGTGGTATTGCAATAATTAGATACCGAAGGACTAAACCATTCCGCCACCGAGCCACTTCAGCTTTAGAGAATATAAGACATTAACTTAAGTGTATCATAAAGTTTCTAACTCGAGTTTTGATAGTGGCAGATAGTGGTATGGTTGAAAGTGTACGAAAATACCAGAACAAAATATCTTCACTCGTACCGCAACAGTCTTATTGGATCGTTGGCAAATGAATACATAGTAATATTGCTCTTGATTTCTAGTTTTCAAAACTGTATAAACATTTAAAATACAAGGTAACATTTTTGCGATAAATTGATTTAAGTAAGGTGCCGTTCACTTTGTGTTTCCAGTTTATTGAAGATTATGTCTACATATACCTTTCTAACGATATATAATATCGTTTGTAATTTAGAATGATTTTGGTCATTCATTCTGGCTTTGTTTGTTAACGACCCCAAAATAATAAACAAAAACCTCAAATACGTCATTTTTAGAAATGCCACTTAGAAACAAAATTAATCTATATAATTATTAATGAGTGTTTTAAAAAACTATCTCATTGGTACAGAAACCAGTTATTGAAATAAGATTTGCTCAACTATTCTTTTCAAATAACAAAAATGTCTTTTAATAATTTAAATTTCAATAAAAAATGTGTGAAATATGAAATCCAAAATAAAAAAATGTGTTTATAATCTTTGCAGTTTAATCAAGATTTATATCCATCATCAGGAGTTCCATTAACAACAACGAGTACCTCAGTTAGTTCTCATTCATCATGTAGTCCTTTATTACAACCAAATTTAGCGTCTTCATCATCTTCATCATCTTCTACCGTTCCTACAATAATAAGCTCATTAGGTCAAAGACATATAGCCAAAGAAGAAGACTTAAGTCTTCCAAGAAATACAGACGCTGAAGGTATGTACAATATTTTCTATGATCAAATTTTAATTTGCATTCTCTTCTGAGTGCAAATCATCAAATTGTTACATTTTTACTTTAACTTTGTTCAAATGCAATGTGACTCAGAGGAATGCGCGAATGAGATATTAACACATGTGTATTGCGACAGACAACCGAAATCACATGTAAATTTAATTCAGTGAAGCGACTGAGATAAAGTTGAAGAAACATATTTGAAATAATTCAAAGACACACTAAACGCTTCTGTATGTTATATTTCTTCGCTCGTCTTGAAGTATTTCTTTCTCTATAGGAAGATTCAATTTAAAATTCAATTTAATTTCTTCTTGTGATCTTTTCTTCCTTTTTCTTATTCAATCACAAGAATGTTTTCTTTTCTCCATTTTACATTCCTTTCGTTACAAAGAATTTGATGAAAAATGCGGGTCAAGTATTCGTGTGTTCACATTAATCCAAATTCGGAAATAATTTCGAGGTTCAAAGCAGAAAATTTTAACGAATAAAAGATTTGTCAAAATGTTAAAGATTCAAATTCATGGTACATATATTTAATTGATTCATATAAGAATAAAAAAAAATTATGTCAATATCAATTGATATTCTATTTTTGCACTTTTTATGTCATATGTTTTTTGCTATATATTCTATCTCATGTTTATAAATGAATTTAAATTTTAAATGTTGCAATATAGCATTTTTATTACTCTTTTCTTTTGTCATGTTCGATCGATATTCTTTCAAAAAGAAAATAAAAATAAATAAATAAATAAATAAATATTATGAAACATTAGCAAATGCAACATTCAATAAGCGTGTAAAGCATTTTATTTAAACAAAGGTTAATATATCATCCTCATACATACATGTCAACATTAATAATATTTTTTTTAAAAAAATATCTTATAGCAATACCCAACAATAGTCATAATGACAGTAGTTCATGTTCATCACCAGAATCTCCATCAGGTGACAACAGCGGGAGAACGCAATATGTTTCTGCAACTTGTGTAGTTGTTACTCATTATTCAGGAGATACTGCAAGCGTAGTTGATGATCATTTTACAAGAGCATTAAATTTCAACGACAAGAACAATAAAGGTATGTGAAGCGTCGTATTATGCATTTTCTTAAATTAAATTAGCTGGTGCTTCACCATGTTAAAATATATATATATATATATATATATTTCACATTAATTAGTCAATTTTTTTATTCCCTTAAGTTTTGTGTGGATTTTAAATGCAAACATCTATTGTCGATTATTTATTTATCGACCAATTCGCGGTTTTCTTTGAGTTAAACTGATAGTAATTGAAACCAATGAATTGGTTCGATAATGTTTTTGTACTGTCTAGTTGCTTGTAGTCGGCAGCTTTTTCGTTTACTAAAAGAATATATTCTTTTATTTTATTTGAAAAGAGAAGTAGCAATGAAGCGCAAGCGAATTAAGTGAGGAATCTTGTTTCTCTTTTGTTGCTGCTTCTTCGAGAAAGTTTGCAACGTTTACAATGAGAATACTTTATTGGTTAAATATTTATGTGTTACTTGCAATAATTAAATGATATAAGTTGAGAACTTTAGAAAAAAGTCGAAACTAAATAATCAGTTTTTTAAGAATTCAACTTTACCTTTTCAAACATTTATTATTAGAATTAAATCCAATGTCAGCACGAAATTTTCCACCTTCATTTTGGAATAGTAATTACGTACCACCAAGCACATCGCATCACCAAATGAGTGAATTATATTCAACAGAAAGTGGATTATACCCCACTGAACCTTGGGTTCATAATACACACTACGGATCATACGCTGCACATGCCTATCATCACAACATGGCTCAGTATGGAAGTCTTTTACGATTACCCCAACAATACGGTCACAGCTCAAGGTATATAAAATTATTTAAGCCAAAATTAATGAATGATTAATTCCTTTTTTATAAAATTAAAAAAGACTTCATCATGATCAACAAACGGCACTAGAAAGTGCGGCGGCAGCATATTCAAATTATCCAATATCAGGTATGCAACAAATATTGAAACTTTTCATTTTAATCGAGGCGCATACACTCGGAAATAGCCCCCACAATCCCAAAAAAATTTCAGCGCTTCTTTCATCAAATTTTGAATCCCACTTGTAATCCCTTAATTATTTATCAACTAAGTAGGGATTTCAAGTGGGTATCAGAGTCTGACGACAAGAAGTGATGGGATTTTTGCGATTAATTCCGAGTGTTTAAGCCTTGATTTTAATTATAATTTTCGAAATTTAATTAAGTGTTGTAAACTTACTTGACCACATTAACTGCTTATTATTGCAACAAATGCCTTTAAAGTTTTTTAGATGATATTTATACATATAAAAAATATTGAAACAGATTAAATTGTTTACCGTTAAATTTTCAGTATGAAAAATTAAGCTGTATCATTTATTTTAAAATTTTAAAGTGTTAATTAAGAAATAAAGATTTTAAAAACAGCGCATATTCTTGAATTTATGCGGATCATTTAATTAAATCATGATTTTTGCTTGATAATCTTTAGAACGACCCACTTATGACGTCCATCAAAAAACATGATTTTTTAAATCCCTCTACCGACTTTGTCAAAAAATTTCTATGAAAATAAATTTTTCTTTGTTTGAACTGTCACAAAATCCTAGACCCCCTAATTGTTGGACGTTATAAGTGAACAACCCCTTTAGTATTTTATCAAAGAAAAATAAGCGCATTGAAATTTCTCTCTTTATATGCATAAATAAGTTTGAAATATGTACCATTAAACGAAAACTTAAAACCGACGGATCATTTTTCTTTTTTGTTTTCTCAATTCTTTGGATATTTTATTTGGATAATTTTCTCAGTCTTTAAATAAAATAAGTGCGATCAAATGTATAATTTCCAAATAAAATATTGTTGAATTAAACCAGACCTAATATTTCTTTTAAATTATTTATTAAAAAAATTTCCATGCTTTAATTACAAAAAAACTAAATGTTTTTTGCGCATGAACACTACTTGAATTCATTAATTCACACGCAAACTCAACCCCACTTTTTATAAAATTTTACCTTATGGCACAAAAATCAATGAAACAGCAAAATAAAATAAAGTAATGGAGTTACACTTAAGGATATATATAGGAGTGTTTTTTATTATGTAATGAAGGAAAATTAAGTAATGGTGCTTCAAATATTTTTTAATGTTTTTTCTTTCTTTTTTTATTTTTCTTATAGGTCTTGAAGCTCAAGAGACATCTAAAGATTTGTACTGGTTTTAATTTAAATCAATGAATTAAGTAATGTAATTTTAATGATTGTAAGTAATTTCTTTCTGTAATGTGATATATAAAAAATACTCAATAGGAACTATCAATGAGAAAATATTTTCACTCGTGCTTATATAAATGTATTTCACGTAATGTAAAACTAATTGTACAGTTCATTTTTATGAATAAATCAATACAAAAACGAAATAATACTTTCAATAATCTATTAACGAATTGATATTTAAAATTTTGTACCAAATTGTAATTAATTTTCAGAATGTTTCCGAAGCCAAGACATTCTCTAAAAATTCAATTATTTGACCTTTTTTAATACTAAAACATGAGTAAAAGCTCGAGCCTGGTGTTTCTCTAACTTTGGAGCATTATTGTTTCTCGAGAAAATCCTAGCTGTGTCAATAGCCAGCGTGGCGCAAAAAGATGATCAGATGATTTCTGTTTCTTGGACTGAAAACTTAGACAAACCCGCTAAACCCCCGATATTCGAATTATCCAGTTAAATAAATGGTTGCTGTTTACGTTATAAAATAAAATTGAAAAAATCAGAAAATCGCGATGATCATACTTCTATAATAAGGAAATCAAACTCACTACTCGAGATAAGAAAAAAATAAATAATTGTATTTTTTTGTTAAATTCGTGTAGATCAAGAATAAATTATTAATATTTGGATGGATGTTACTATAAGCTAGTCACCGAGCTTTTTAATATTTTATAATCCAATAAGACACTGGCTAGTAACGTAAAAATAAGGTTTTTATAGATTTTTTCAAAAGTTTTGTGTTTGAAACAATTTTTCTCATAATTAAGCAATGTAGACGTTCCAAAGACTGTGTAAACGTATGTAAAGAGCCGAGATCTAGTGATTTTTTTGACTCACTAGTATCTTAGTAACGAGTAGTAGCTTAGTAAAAAAAATTGAACTTCAATGAAAATTTTGAATTTTTAAACTTAATTAAAGAAATTTTGTTATCTTCTCGATTTTATTTCATTGACAATGACATTAGAAAATTGAAAAAGAATAATTAAACTGTATTTTTGGTAGTAGCTTAGTATAATTCTTAAACATTTTAAAGTTCAAAAAACTTTACTAAGCTATTAGCTTAGTAACTAGTAGTAACTTATAACGAAAAAACAAGGTAAGCTTTTATTTTCCTAATCCATATATTCCTATTATATTTCTTTTCTTAGAATGTTGTTCATGAAAATAAAGAGCCAAAAAAAATGTTTAACCGGTTTGCAGGAAGTGTAACTAAGGTTAAATGCACTTTTCAAGAAATATTTTTTTTAAAGAACATGTACCAAAAAAGCTTTTTTCCTAAAATTCCACTCATCTGCATCGCCATTGATCACCACTGATATACGGGAACAAAGAGAAGTAAATGACGAGTGAAGCTCAGTCTATTGTCGAGGTGCGCTGTATTTCTGTGTGAGTACATCCGAATTTAGGTTAATACTCGATACACAAGTCTTGTACAGATTTGAAGTTAAATCTAAAATACTTTACTGATATTTAAAATACTTCTGTCGGCATGATGATTAATATGCTAATTTTATAGTTCATTAGGCTACCTCTTTTAAATAAGCATTTTGAATAAAATAAACCCGAATAGACAAAGAGCACGCTATGAGCGCGCTCAAATTTAGTGCTGAGCATGCTCGCGTGAGCGTGCTCTTTCATACGAAAAGTGATGCCACTACTTTACGCTAATGAGCACGCTTTTTGAGCATGCTCTGAGCACGTTATTTTAACAAATTTTGAGCATGCTCAAATTGTTGTGTGACACGAAACATTTTTTATGTCATATGATGTGACATTTGAGTACACTCAGTGAGTGTGCTCGTGAGTGTACTCTGAGCATGCTCACTGAGTGTACTCACATTATTTTATAATTTTCAAAAAAATTAAATTTTGAAATTATTTTTTTGATATATTTTACTATTGTAAGGTTTTTAAATGTTCTAGAATAAATTTTGTTCATTAATAATCTGAAAAAGACACTTAAGAAAATTTTGGATTTTACCTGGATTCGAACTCACGACCGCTCTGTTGATAAGACCATTACCATAACCATTACACCACTGCTGCAATTTACCTTTATAATTTATTATGGCAAAAACTCATATATAAACTATAACAAAGTTAAATACTTCGAAATTGATCTCAAAATGTTTTTAAACAATGTTTATAGTTAAAAAGTAGATAACTATATATAATTCTAGAAACTTTGACTTGTGAAGTATATACAAAATCATGAGCATACTCAGAGTATGCTCAATATATGTGCTCTTGAGCACGCTCAATAAAATGTGAAATCTTAAAAAAAATGTTTTTTTAGAGCACATTCACAATGTGCTCACGAGTATGCTTAAGAGTGAGCATGCTTAAATTTGAGAATTGAGTATGCTCATGAGCATGCTCAATAAAATGTGAAATATTATAAAAATTGTTTTTTTTGTGAGCATATTCACAATGTGCTCACGAGTATGCTTAAGAGTGTACTCAAGTGAGCATGCTTAAGTTTGGTAATTGAGTATGCTCATGAGCATGCTCTCGAGAATGAGTATGCTCTCGAGCATGCTCAATAAAATGAAAAATTTAAAAAAATTGATTTTTTTGTGAGCATATTCACAATGTGCTCACGAGTATGCTTAAGAGTGTACTCAAGTGAGCATGCTTAGATTTAGGAATTGAGTATGCTCTCGAGCATGCTCAATAAAATAAAAAATTTCAAAAAATTTGTTTTTTTGTGAGCATATTCACAATGTGCTCACAAGCATGTTCAACTGAGTGTGCTCAGGTGAGCACGTTAAATGATGATTTTGAGCATGCTCATTAACGTGCTCACAAAAGTGAGCACGCTCTTTGTCTATTCGGGAAAACTAAGACATATAAAAATTAAATATAAATGATAAGAATCCTCATACCACACAAGACGAATTAATTTTTTAATTATTCAAATACAAACAAATGTTTATCTATTATACATTACTTAACACACCTAACTGTTTAAACGGGTAAAAACCTTTAATTAAAACAACATAACATTTTTGTAATACCAATAATCATTGCAAATGGATGGATACGAATTTGTTCGCCACATAGCATTAAAAACAAATATATAAGATAATTTTGAAAATATTTTTAACAAGTACCTTCAATTTCTGAAGCCAAGCAGTTACATAACTCACTTCGAAAAATAATAAACTTAAGCTTTACTATATGAAAAAGCCTTTGTTTATCAATAAAGAAAGAATATAAAACTCTCAAATAAAAGACGGTGGTTTTTCTTCAAATTTCATAATTGAACGCTTGTTAACTTCAAATAGCACCCATAATAATCGCTCCATAATAATCTTCAAAAATTTTACCACAAATAAAAGAAAATGAAATGCTCAAGTTTTTCCTTTTGAAATATTAGTATGGAACCCCCTTTTCTTTTGTTTTATATACTTTGATTTTATAACAAAGAACTAAAAAAAGGGAACGAGCCAGAAACGAACACAAAAAATTTAAAGAGCCTGTGTTAGTTTGGTTAATAATTCTAGTAGTACATGGAAAACTACAAAGGGCTCGTTCACTTATTACGTAACGCAAAAAAACGAGTTTTTAGACCCCCCCTCCCCCCCTGTAACAAAGCGTAACAAAATCTTAGACCCCCCCTCCCCCCACATAACGTAACAATAATTTTTTTCATTTAAATTGTTTATCAAATGTTTATTATACTTCCTTTAAAATTTAAAATTAATATAGAAAAAATTATAAAAAAATATATTTTTTGAAAAGTTACGTAACAAAATTTAGACCCCCCCCCCTCCCCCTGTAACAAACCGTAACAAAATCTTAGACCCCCCCTCCCCCCCTAGTGCGTTACGTAATAAGTGAACGAACCCAAACTAAAACTTCGGAAATACTTTTCGAAAATTTTTGAATATATTTTAAGTACTCATTCAAAATATTAGTTTTATTCATTTATGGAATATTATAAGAAAAATAAAAAATAAAAATGTCATAAAAAGTGTCCTTTTAAAATACGAATGAAATAACATTCTATATTAAGGACTTAAGATCTAGCCAGGATAACAAAAACATATTATTAAGTCATTATTAGTAGATTAATCTCATAATCTACGTATGAATTAATCTTTCTTGTTCAAGGATTCTAATAGGCACTCTATATTATCGTGCAGAAATAATATTCTATGAGCTCGTTCAGGATTTAAGGATGCTCTTTTTTGAGTCATTAATGAGTTTGATATTGAGAAATTACGTTCCGCCTGAGTACTCATAGGTTAAATAGCAAATAAAACTCTTGCTAAACGATACAGCATAGGCAAATCATCCTTGTTAAACTATGAATACGTTTTAGAACGTTTGAATGATCATAAGCCGTTAAAAATTTGATTAGATTTCTCGTAAATATTCGAAAAAAATGTTTGGTTAAATTATGATGCAATTTAATGCTTTAATGTAACTTAAGTCATTTTGAATCGTCAATTGTATTTTTAAAAGCAATTAAAACTTCTCCAGTTCTGCATTAAGAGTGTTTTGGGTGCATAATGTGATGTTTTAAAAATTTTTCAATTTCGATTTGTTTGCCAACGACAAAAATTTTTGGTAAAAAACGTAAAAAAATTCAAATTTTTACCGTTAAAAATAAATTTTGGTAATTAAACTACCTATGGCTATGTTGCAATGAGTTTTGTCAAATAAGATACCAAAATAGATATGAACACGGTTAAACACAAAAAAAATGTTTCAATGTCATGCTTAGATAAATTTCGAAAAAATTAAGCGTCTTTAGCAGTAATTTAATTAAGATTTTTTAGGTATCTACGATGTAAAGCACAATATTTTTAACATGCTGAGAATTTCAATAATTGAATGTTTAAAAAAGTCAAAAAATATTTTGAGATTCGAACCTGAATGACAAAAATAAAAGAATTTTTGTATGAAATTTTTATACTTTACAAGCCAAAAAATCCTTCTTTAGTCGATCTTAGTCGCGGCTTTAGTCGACTTTAGCCGGTTTTAGTCGACTATAGCCTACTAAGGAAAAAACCGTTAATTCTTTAGTCGACTATAGTCGACTAAACTTCACTCGGCTTCGCCCTCTGGAATTTCCCATATGTCAAAAGATGTGAAATTTCATTCTATATCCCAAAAAATATTTTGATTCTT